TGGCGGTATGAAATCCTTCGTCGCATGCAAAATAAAGTGTTGAAATATTTGGATCAATCTGGAAGTACACAAGATTGTCAGCGACATGAAAAGATAGGGGAGCATGGCCATAGTACATACCTCTTAAATTCCATAGTAAGCACCGTAGTGATAGACAACATGGGATTGAAAGAGTTCTATGAGTTCTGCTTTCAGCGTGCCACACGGGATTTGCAGGTTTGGCTTGAAGTGCCAGAGTATTTGTCGAAGAAGATTTTGAGTGCACCAGACCGGTTGCCACTCAGGGGAAAGGTACATGCGGAGATTTGGGGGTAAGCTCCAGATGCTGGTCCAGAAGTAGGGATCCTCATGGACGGACGGAAGTGGGAGTCTGCGCCGGCGGATAGGTCTGCGGATGAGATTGGCACGCCGGGCGATTCTTGACGATCTACGCTGGAGGGGCCGATTGTTCCTTCTTGGTTGTTGAGCTACTTGATGATTTTGACGAAGTGGAGGCTGATGTTCTAATACATGAGGTTGAAGTTCTATCTCTTGATTTTGATGTTCTACGGCCACATCTTCATTTGGCACATTGGCGATTGCGAGGTCTTCAACTTCCGGTCGTTCTAATACATGAGGTTGATGTTCTATAGCTTGATGTTGATGTTCTACGGCCGCATCTTCATTGGGCACATTGCCAATTGCGAGGTCTTCAACTTCCGGTCGAGTTTGCTGACAACGTGGGCGCCTTCGGCTAATACGGGTGGTAGTGATGGAAGAGTTTCCCACCAAAGTGATATTACCATAGATGTTGATGGACATGTTTCGATGTTGAGCTAGTGAAAATGAGATTGACCAAAATTTAGCTCAGAAATCAACAACAAAGCAGGTTAAAACAAATTGAATATGGAAAAAGAGGAGTCTTTGTGAATGAAGGAATTGAATCGAAAGGTTGTGTGACTAATACTGGAGCCTGAATAAAGCAGGATGAATAGGTAGTTGAGAGTTTAAATACGGATCACTCACAATCCGCGGACTGTGAAGTCACAAAATAAAGACATTGGCAAAACAGAGCCTATTGTCTTGATCCACGGAGATGAGAATAACTGTTGACGGAGAAGATTTGGGAAATTTAAACATAGGCGATTCGACTTTTGATGAACGGGGACTCTCGTATCTGTTGGAACCGTTATGTGATACATCATACGAGATGTGATCTATCCTCGACTGTTGTTTTGAAGAATGGAGGGAAGTATCGCCGGTGGGAATCTAATTGCAGCAAAGGGGATGATGGAAGGGAACTCGCTCAAATACCTCATTCCTACTCCTGCAAAGAATGTGACAGAAGATACAGTCCTGCCAGATACACCTTTCACAGCCTTTCACGTTTGTCTTTCAAGGTCTCCTCGGGCATTCGACTGGTCTGTATTGACTATATGTACATATGTAACAATGACCAAATCGAATCAAGCAATCTCAAAGATGATTCATGGGATAAAGAGCTATTGGTAATAATGTAATGGAACGGAATACTAGGATATAAGCATATGAAATTTCCTAAAACCGGGCGGTACAAAGTGAAAGAACAAACAAAGAGCATACTCGTGGGTAAACAGGGGTAAACAGTAATCCCCCAGGTGATGGCCAAAAACGGTCTTTCTCTATGAACGTACCATGTAGATCTTCATCGTGCTGATAGCTCAGACATGAGCAGTCCAATGCATAAGCACAAGACTCATGCGCGAGTTGATCTGGGCTCATCCTTAGCGGTGGCTGAGTTTTTTGATACCCGCAAACAAAAACTGCACAAATGTTGCATGTCTGCTGTAAAGGAAGCTCGCCTGGCGTCCGGCGCAATTTGGGAGGACACTGTGTATCTTACCAAAGGAGCATAAGTGTTGATGTGATCTGCGTCCAGCCATTCCCATCACTTTCCTGATTACAGGGAGATCACAAACAACTTGCATGATCATTGCACGAATCATCCACCCATTGATTGGAAGTTCAGAGGTACAGGAGAAATGAACTCCATTCCAAAGATAAAGAAAATCATCCACAAGATCTTGCAATACATGGTTAATTTTGATTACATCTGGTTCCTGTGGGCCTGGTGTGATTCCGGCTAGATAGATGTTTTAGGGACAACAGCGGTGTTCTGGAGGTAGATTTAGACATATCAATGAGATTGCACCAAGTGATGCTGATAATCCTACCACTTTGTTACCTCATGGATTGAACCAATCCACACCCAGACAGAAAGCAAGGTTGCCACTGGTAGCAGTGAATGGCAAGTTATCACATCCTTTTTGATCCTTCCACATAGGGGAATCCCAGATACTAGACATGGTTGACAAAGGCGCTCTATGACGTAATGAGGTATCCAGGAGGTTTTCAATACCGGGTCTATTCAAAAACCTAGCAAGCCATGTGTTGAAAGATTGTGTGTAGTGGATACGGCGGGGGCGGGACCAATTTTCTTGATAGAATAATTCTTGAGCACATACTTGACTTCGAGCCGGTCCTTTATATATGCAGAGCAATGGAGCTTCTTTGTTTTCATATAAGCAAAAGCAAGCGGGGCAGCATATCTTCTTCCGTAATTCAGGCTCCAGCTTCAACTTCTTGGTGACTGTCCGGATATCAAGGGATGTACCTTCAGATCCAGGCTTAGAGGGATTGACAATGTTCAATATTTTGAGAGCCATGTTACTTGCAGAGGTGATCAAGTGGTTGAATAGATATAAACAGGCCACCAAGATCATGTTTGTAAGGGTTGTGTCCGGAAATTCCCGAGGCCCATGGCTATATGATTCTGAGGGCACATCAAAAAGTCACTTCTTAGTAAGGCTTGGTCGGAAAAAAATTACAAATGTCAACGAACCTGCATCAAATGTGGGTAGATTTTTATTGGCTTTTGAACTTCTGGGGCCGTTTTCTTCCAAGTTTTCCAACATGCCATCATCTGGTTGGGTTTGATTGGAACTGCACAGGGGAGTGGACGAGCCAACAGGTGAGGAATCAATTGGGTTTGTGGAGTTTTCATTGCTTGGGTCTCTTCTTGGTGTACTCTGAGCATGAGGGCGGTGATGAGCAAATTCTACAGTACACCAATCTCTTGCAGCCACTCTTGCGTGAAGTTCTCCTTTGTGCTTTCAATAAGCAGAAAACTTGCAATCCCATCTGGTGCCGTTTGGAGATTTGCTGAAGGCCTTGCATTCTTCACGTTTGCAGAGGATAAGCATGTTCGTTGGATTTGATTTGACGGATAGAAAACCAGGATAGAGATGTTCCAGGAATGAACTGTCAAATGTATGGTTGGTAATTTGTGATTTTCCAAATTTTGACTTTAGAGGTTGATAAAGATAAATTGAAGGTGGTAAGATAGGTAATGTAAACTTTTCTCCTTCACCACGAAGTGGATTATGATTTATGCTGATGTTTTGTGTAATTTAAATAAGTCTGTGATTTAGACATTCAAAGACTGCAAAAGGGTCAATACCTCTATTGAATTAGACGCCAAAATACATCCTCAACTAAATAGTAAGAGGTTCATAAGTGAATCAAGTGAACTCACCCAAAGACAATCAGATCTAGTATCCACTATATTCTTTTGATTCTGTTTGAGAGACATCTAAGACACTTTGGTTTGATGGCAGGTGGAGCCATGTGGTCACCCACCCATATTCTCAGCCATGTCTCAACAAGAAACCTTGGTGAAGTAACCGGTTACCAAACAATAACAGTATACCAGAATAGAGGCTTTGGAAGGATATGTCCGAAAATCTTGTCAGATGATATCATCTTCATTTATCTGATCTTTGAGATTTCATCCAGAAGCAGTGGGGAGCATTGCAAAGTAAGAATTGGGTATGTTTCAGCTCTAATTGATTATATAATCAATTATAGCTGAAACATATTGATGTGGCTACATATATGTAGCCACAATTTTACTTGCCATTCACAGCATTCACCCCTAAAACCATCATGAGATTCATCATATCCCCCACCATCACCCGGAACATAAATCACATTAAACTGCCTTAAATCCTTTCCTACCCGCCTCATTCATGGTAGCCTCTCTAACCTTCCGTAATCAATCTGGATCACAACCTCCATCTTCTTCAAAACCTCTCTACTAGTATAGGTATCCTCCTCACATCTTTGCACAACCTGGTCATCCTGCAACTGCTGATAATCCGGCAAAATCACAGAAGCTCGTGACAATACCAATTATCTTTCTGCCAAACTTTTCCATTCCCAGTGAAGTACCATGATAGACGTACCTCTAAAAAGCCACAAAGGACTAGTTGTGGCTGCTTGATCTAAATTTGATGAGATTTTGGAGTTGCCTGAAGATGCACTCCGCAAACGTTTTGGGGAACTGGCTCTCCTGGAAACTAATGAGTACTCGCTTGTACCAATAGTCAATGCTGAAGTCAGGACCAACACTCAAGGCCTCCCTCAAGAAAGTACTTCCAAACGCCCAGCCACATCTCAAGAAGGTCTTCAGTCAACCTTGGCTTTGGAAGACTTGGAATTGATCAAGGACTTAATTGAAGCTGACTTCAAGATGATTGAAGCAGCTGAGTCAGATTCAGATTTGGCCTCAGTATCAGCAGTCGAACATGAAGAAGATGTCTCAAGTGACTCAGCAAATGCAAGCAAAGTGGATGGAGATGCAGATCTTTGTCCCTTTTGTGTTGATCCACTTCCTGCTCAACTTTCAACCAAGCTCATCAGATTGAAGGCCACTTTATTGGCACTGCCCAACATCCGCAAAGGAATATGGCATGCAGGATCAATGTCCTTGCCGGTAAGTGTGACTGTTTCCAATCTCCTCAATTCTTTATTTGGTGTCAATGTCATATGCAATGTGTTTATGATTTATTGATTTTGTAAACAACAGTTGGCCCAAACTGCGGAATTTTGTTATTTACATCATGCCGAACTTGAGACTATCCCACTTGGTTTTGCAAAAGGATGGCCAACGACCATTGAATTCGATGCTTTGGAAGTGTATGTACTTTCCACTGACCCATTGTTTGTTCACAGTCTGCTAACTGTGTTATGTTATTGTTCCACAGGCGTGTTACCAATCACACTGAACTCTTGAGCAAGATAGTCGACCAAAGTGAACCATCTGTTTACTTGGAAGAGGCAAAGAAGAAGAGCAAAGGCAGTAGACGTAGGGCACCTGATCTGGGCAACTTTGAGATGGAGCAACCCGGATAGTAAGTTGTACTAATCTTTCTCTCATTTCAACTGCCTTTACTAATATTTTCTTCCGTCTATTTGACTTCCAGTTATGGATATCAAGGTTACATAATAATCATTTCCACACTTGAGACTATCTTTATTCAAGATCAATCATCCCAGCATCACCTTTGCTTGGAAAAAGCCGCTCCTCTAACTCCAGATTACTTCCTACAACAAGTTCTTCTCCCTGAAGTTACTCTCTGTTTGATTTCTGAAGACATGAGCTTCGATGGAAGGGATCCTCAAGTCCAGGAAACTTTTGAAGCAAGTCGTGAATTTGGTGCAGTGGTGTTTCCAATGCCAGAGGACTGGAGACCAACCGCACTAAAAAAACAACCACAAAAACACAAGAATCAATCATTGAGCGCATCAAATTCCGTCACTGTTATGAGGACCCATTCTGACAAACTGGTTTTAAAACAATTACCCAAAGTTGTTATCCCATACATTGAGACGGTTTTCAATTTACCCCCTTCTGGCAATTGTGGCTTCTGCGCCATTACTCAAGCACTCCGGATTTACAGCACCAACTGTTGTATTTTAATTTGCTATCAAATGCACAAGGAGCTCTCATTTTGCAGGGAAGCCTACAAACAGTTGATTTTGACTCCAGGGAGTACCAAGCCACGGAGGACAACTCGGCAAACAAAACCTCACACCACTGGAATCATTGATGATCTGCTTGTTTGACTTCAACCCCAGACTCAAAAGTTTTGGATGCTCATGCCGTACCCTGGCTACGTCATCTCAAGTGCTTACAAGTGCCCAGTGATCTCTTTGGATCCTAGCAAAGTGAATTCTTACACATTCTTTCCATATCACACGCCACCCAACAACAAATGTCCTATAATCCTTGCCTTTGTTGATGGAAATCATGTTGTCAGTCTGGGATTTGGCGCTAAATTAGTTCCATTTCCTGAAGTTTACAACCAGAATGCCTCAGCCTCAATCCAAAACTCCCAGGTACCGGCGTGGTTTAAAAAGTATAAAGTGCAAATGGGTTGGTGGGCAAATCAAGGTACTTAGTCACAGGGGCAAAAATTGATGCTCACAACTATGTGAGTGTTGAAATGTTCCTGTTTTGTTTCCCTTTTCTTTCTGGTTGTCAGCTGATTACGTGAACATCAGGAACTGAGCAGACAAACTAAGCCTTCCTCAGCCTTTATTCCTGAGCAAAGAAGTCTGAGGAAGGGCTGATCCTGAGCGGCATTCCCTGGTTCAATAAGTTCCAAGGAATGCCACTAATGTATAGCTTAGGGGCTGAGCTGAACTGAGTATTCCCTTAGCTAAGTCTCTGAAGCATCCCCCAGACGGATCACAGAGAGTCAAGCTTGCCTCAAGCTTCATGGCTCCGGAATGAAGCCTGAGGCCCGTCTGCTTGTTCAACTGAGCTGCTCAGCTATTCCTCAGGGGCATTCCTGAGATCAGAATGCCCCGGAGGAACTCACTGCTCATTGGCTGAGGGGCTGCTCAGTTCTGCTCAGCTGCTCAGCTAGTCCTCAGGGGCATTCCTAGCCGGATCAGAAGGATCCAAAGGATGTCACTGAGTATTGGCTGAGGGGCTGCTCAGTTGATCTCAGCCCCTCAGTGTGAAAAACTTTATCCGGGGATATCACTGAGGATTAGCTGAGCAACTGAGATAAACTGAGCAGATGGGATGGCACTTTTATCAGGCTTCATTCCTTAGCAAGGAAGTCTGAGGGAAGTCTGGCCCATCAGTGATCCAGTCAGGGGATGCTACTGAGTATTTGCTGAGCAGCTCAAAGGGGACGCCCCTGTGCAGGCTTCTTCACTGAAAAATGAAGCCTCAGGAAGTTATAGTTCATGTGTTCATCTTCATGTTGAACAAATTGCTGAGTATTCAGTGACCCATGAGCTGATCCTGAGTACTCATCGGAAATCAGTTATTGCTCATCCAAGATAGAAATGAGCCTTCTCAACAAATGTCAAGTAAAATATGAGCACCACAGGCTGATCACCGGAACACAACCAAGATTTTGAATTGAATCAATCTGAAAGAAAACAAATCTTTTTTGGAGAATTCCAAAAAGTCTACAACGCTCACATGTATGTGAGTATCTATTTTGGCCCCTGTGAGTGTGCTTGGATTGGTAGCAACCGTTTTTTCCAACTTTTTTCCATCTATTTTGTCTATGCTGTGCCTTTGTACCTTTATAATTCAATTTCTGTTGTACATACCTGTCTTTTTGTCAAAGTCTTCTGGGCATGCTTTTATCTTACTAATCTGTTGTCTTATCTTCTTCTATGTCATCTTTTGTATGCTATTATGCCACATATGTTCAATTTATGCTATGCTATGTTATTTATGCGCCATACCATTGATGTGTGCATCTGATTTCCATTGCAGCAATTTAGAACTCAAATCTAAAATGCAAGCAAGTGTAAAGAATTTTTAGCATTTCTTCTGGATCAAAAGAATCCCTATTTTTTTCAAATAGTGCTTCATTGTATCTGACTTGGCCACGAACCCTTCCCACCTTGGTGTATTCTTAAACATGGTGAGGACTCTCATGCAAAGCATTGCAACTTGAAAGTCCACCCTCTACAAAACACAGGTGGCTGCAAGATCCCAGAGGAAACAATTGCTTTTCAAAACAAAGCTTGCCACTTTGTTTTGATGCAGCAGTTTATCAAAAAACTTTTAGAAAGCCACTTTCCAATCTACCAAGTGAAAGAATCTTACAAAAACCTTCTTACCAGGATTTTATTGAAACTATTATTTTGCTCATTGATGTGGCTTATCTACAAGAATGTGGGCATTTTTGCCTGCCTCAATATCAATCATGGAAGCTTCTACTCTTCTAATCTCTGATAGGATCCTGCCAAGCTGTTGTATTGGTTCGTCCAGGGAAGTTGAATTAGATCTGTCTGTTAAAGAATTAAAACAAGTCAGAGGAAAGAGTTAGATCTAAAAGGGTGAAGAACAAAGCAATATTTACCAATTCCCAGTTGTTTTTGAAAGCTGATAATCACGTGAACCATTGGAACCTTTTCCTTCAAATCATGTAGATATCTTTTTGTTTGAGTATATTCTTCTCGCAACCTGCGGCCTACAGCAGTATATATAGATGTTAACTGAATGATAAATAAAAAAATAGTGATATGAGACAACATGAAGCTTACATGATTCCTGTAATTCCCCTTGTTCTGCCAGCTCATTATGAACATTTGCATCTTCCTTTGAGTCAAAATGCAACATATTTCTTATTGGAATGTGGAAGATTTAATGATGAATGATGTGCCACAAAACAAGATACAAAATACAATGAGTTGAAAATTTGAAAATACACTCACAATTAAAGAAGGACTGGTGAAATCAGATCAGCAAGATTAAATTGTTATTATGTTCGATGAGCCTTGTCCCTGAAGGACAGATAAGTTTGTGATTTTGAGAGCTCAGAGGTGTTTGTAAAATACCTGAGAGGATCAAGAGTGAGGCTACAAGATAATAGAAATGAAATGTATGATTAAGGGCCCGTTGTAGAACTCCTACGCAGTGTAGCGTAGGCTGAGCCGGAGAAGGTTAGAATCACAGTCAAGGAGGACGGATGAAACTACGGTTCTGTGAAGCTGCCTTCAACCTAAAGAAAGTTCTAAAAAAAATAAGTGAGACAAATTTTTACAACCCCGCCGTTACAAGTTTCCCGTAAACCTAATTTTACCCCGTACAAGGATTTTCAACCTTTCTAACCCTATTTATCCCTCCCACAATTCAGCCGCACACACAAAGTTAAAAAAAACACAAATTAAAAAACACAACTTGTCCTGGAATTGAACCCAGGTTCAGTCCTTTCTTTTGGCCCTGACTTGGCCATGATCCTAGTCTGACTCTTATACGCTAAAAAATAAATAAATAAATAAAATAAAATAATCCCAACCCTTCATCCACAACTTCAACAAAGCTCCAAGAACACACAACACTCAATATCTTGAATAAGTAAGTCTTCTCTTTTCTAATCCACCTTCTTAACTGTTTAACTAACTAACACACTTCTCATCCACTTGTTTTCTCAAATTTGGACTTCCAACACTTTAACACTACAGATAGATCACTTCGATCTTAACACAAACACTAGACTCAAGAAAAAACACAAGAGCCAAAAAACACTGCACTTTGATCGATTTACTACGATCTCCACACACATGCCACACACTTTTCAACACCAACAACACCCCCCCTTTTTATATCTTCCAACCTCTCCAACCACAACTTGGCCTCACAGCCCTTTCTCCCATTTGCTCCGATCGATTCCAATGGATTCCCATGCCAAGATCCTTCCCATTCGACTCGATTCTGGATCTTTTGAACCAGGTATGTTCTTCTTCTACTTTTCTCATCCTTGTCTTTCTTTCTTTCTAGTACTAATGACATCATCTTTTGTATTCATTCTTATTTAGCTTATAGTTCTAACCCTTCCCAGCTTAACTCCTTCCTTCAATACTTATCAATTCCAATTTCGATTTTTAGCTCTTCTCTCTCCAGGTAAGTTCCTTTCTTCTACTTCTCTTTTCTCATGCTAACTAACTGCAATCTAACTCCTGCCATTCCACTGCTTTTCAATTTTGATTTCGACTTTTTCCTTTGATTGTCCGAGTTTGAAATACCAGGTTTGTTCTTCCTCTCTTATCTCCTTCCTTTTTCTCCCATTCACACACTAACTTTGGTTCCCTTTTCTTTCTTCTTGTTGATTTCAATTCTAGGCCTTGATTTTGATATTCACCTTCTCACAATGATAGTCTATGTAGTTCAATCTTTGATTTTGAATCTTCGTCATTGTCCATATGTAAGTTCTGTTCCTTCTATTCTGTTTAATCGCTGAAACTGACATTATCAACTCTTCATCTTGATCTCAATAGTTTGAATTTTGATTTCGATTTTTGACCTCATTGAGTAAATCTTTATTGATCTTCTAAGTATCTGATTGATGATGACATGATACTTTTTATTCAGTATAGGTTTGTACACTAAAATCAAACCTAATCCCTTTTCATTTTGTTCTAGTCTTTGATTTAGGTATCTAATTGATTCAACTTGTTGTCTTATTATAGTTTTCTTGTAGTCATGTTGATTGTGTTGATATAGATGTCTTTAAATGTGTCTTCAGACTTTTACTCAAAAAAATAAAACTATGGTGAAATGAAATGGATAGCACTAATGATCTGTTCAAAACTTAATGTGCCATAGTGAGATGATAAAACTCATTTTAATATGTTATCTATGCATGATATCTTTCATAATGATGTTGATAGCAAAGCTGTAAGTTAGTTGTTTGAAAGCATTTAATTGTTGAATGATGAAACAGGTGGCTTAAGCAAAGCAAAGAGAACACTATGGCATGTATACATAAAATAATATCCTTGTGTAATTTGATTTCCACACCGTTTGGGTTGTTTTCAGATATTATCTGACCTGAAAACCAAATTTTGATTTGCCCCTATCTCAAGGGGCACATTGAGATACTGGTCTTTCAGATATTGAGACTGCCAAACAGTGATCCAAAAGAGGTCAACAGACGTCTGTTGACCTCGCAGTGATCATATTTCTGTTCGGTAACAACCACATGAGATTGTATGTATCTTTTCATTCTACTCAAACTTTTGAAACAATCATCGTTGACCTTCATTGTTCTCATCCCACTGTAATCTTTCCATTCGATGTATCCATTCTTCTTTTGAACTCAATCTTATCTCTTTAATAATCTAATCGGTCAATTTCTTCATCTATATACTTTGATAAATACATTTTAAATTGATCTTTTAATAATTTCATCATCTAAATCTATGTTATCAAATTGACGATTGATTCTAGTTCTACTACTGTTCAAAGGTAAGATCAATCAAACCTTTTGAATCAAAGTATCATTGATAGCATTTTTCAAAGTTTAGTATAACTATTCAAATAAGATCGTCGAACAATATCCTTTATAAGAATATCTAAACAAGGCAGAGATGAGATTATAAAATGATCAAAATAGTAAAAACTATTATGGAGTGAGGGCGGATGAGCAAAGCAGTGAGGATCGAAGAACATAAGGGTGTGTGTGGGTGATGAGACGTTGAGAAGGAGATGAACAAAGAAGATAGATGGAGGAGGGGCACATCGAGATAGAGCCTTCAGATACGGCCAAAAGGCTGTATCTTGATGTGGACCAATATCTTGTTATTGAAGATCAGATATTGACCTCAAATATTCGAACCAAACACTGATCTGATTTCAAATATCTGGTCGAGATTGGATCCAGATACAATATGGCCGTATGTCACTTTTTTGGTGTGAAATTTGGCCACATCGTATCTGCTCGCGGTGTCCGAACGGGCCCTAAGGCATTTGCAATGTCAATCTGGTGATTTAATTATGTTTCACATGATCTCAATTAAGCCCAATCTATACCACTTCCAGACCAACCAACCTTCCTGTTCAGAATTGAGCATTGCAGTTGAATTATGAGATGTATTATTTGTTTATTTTAATTGTGCATCATCAGTTTAAATATATTGAGATCCTCTTCTAAAAGTACAAATGTTACACGGAGGTTGTCAGAATGTTTGGATACTTTTCCAAAGATATCTTGTGACCAGATTCAACCCATATGTTCAAAAGTGACTTGATCAAACTTTTTCCTGGCTGTGATTGTTGATTTCACCATGCATAGAAACCCCATGCACAAACAGATGAGAATTGTAGTCAATTCAAGTCACACAAGTCACAAGGAATCAAATAGCATCGTAATTGGTGATTTGAACAGTGACTTCAAGATATAGTGAAATCAGTAAGGGAGTGGGGAGCATTGTGAAAAAAAGGATTATGCCCCAGTTCTTTTTTTCTCATTGAAGTTCAATGTTATCTCCCTGGTCAGGGAATGATCATTGTGAGGACTCCCTAAATATTGGTTTCAATCCTTCATCGAGATATTTTTCATTACATACTAACTATTTAAATCCAACCCATGTGGGATCCAGTATTCCCTGACTTAAACATTTCATGTATGTCTCCTGATCAGAAATTAGAGTCAGGAAACTCACCTCCATACAAGGACTTCCCGAACATGGCTTCTGTCAATCAACACAAGACAATTCCTTCAACTCGCCGGTTGTCCACTCAGAAGATCCTCAATCCCTGGAATGCCCCCTCCCAAGATTCAACCCTCACCTGGCAAAAACAGAATCCAGATGTATTGGGAAAGCGCAAAAGGGCTGCAGAATACAGGGGTACAATACAGGAACAAGGAATGATCACTGGTGGTAAGTTTGTTCTCTTGACCACTTTCAGGAACTCCATAAGTAGAATACCAAAGCATCTAACAACTTTATACTGTTATCAGATGGGAAAACATTAGATACTATGCCAAGAATATCCAGTCAAAGTGTGATTGCATCGGAAGTACTGGTAAGTCATGCACAAAACAGTACCCAAAAAGATTTGGTCTAATACGCAATGCTGTCCTTTCAGTCTGCCTATCATATTTGTCCAGTCCATCCAATTCATATCTCATCATCTTCAGGCATGAATATAGCGGCCAACTCTTTCAAAGAAGGTGGATTCAATTTGACACCTGAGCTTGAAACAGTCCAAAAACCATCACCCACAACAATGTGCAGTTCAAATAATAATTCTGGGACATCCACTGCTAAAGTTCTGAACAATAAATCAAAAAGAATTATAAAACAACCTAAGATTGAACACAGAAATGCTTTTTCAGTCAATCATCAGGTCCGGAAGTTGATATTCTTAGAACCTTTCAAACAACTAAACAAATCACTTCCAGTCAGGAAAAATGAAGCCTTAAGTACAGTATCCAAGGGAAACCCCAAAGATCTGATATCATTCCACAATCTCAATTGGTTTTGAGCCTAAAACAGTGGTTTGTTCATTTGTCAGAAACATTTGCAATGACCCCTTGGTTTCTTTAGTGGTCCAGAAAGACATCCCACCAATAAAAGCTGAGGTTTCCAAGCAATACAGGCAAAACCAATTGGCCAATAAATATCAAGTCTGGTGTCAAAATGATCCAGGGCACAAAGCTCAACAAAGACGAGGGTGTGTGGTGCATTTCCTTGACCTTCAAGGACTTCATTCTAATTATACTTTGTTTGAATTGTTGCACAACCAGTCACGGTATTAAAGGAACAGGTTAACATTCTCAAATAAAAGTTTTGACATGTTGAACAACTTCAGGAAGAGGTCATATTTTTGAAGGATCAAGTACATATTCTTCGGACAGAATTGAAGGTAGCTTGTCAGAAGACAGATTTTCTTGAATGAGATCTGGCTGTGGCTCAAATTGTTGTGGGACAACTTATTCATGTTTTGGAGACCAAGCAATCAAGTTTGACTGACACCACCATTATGACTTCAAGGATGCCGCTGGCAGCAGCAGCCACGGCCATGGCAGCTGACCCTGCCCCAAATGTGTCTGATTATTGATTTGTATTGCGGATCCTACACCCAGATAATCTACTCTTTCAGGAGAGTTGATGTATGAGATAAGCAGCACTCTGTATGGGTATCTTTCATTTATGGTAGATATGTAGTACTTCCAATTATCAAATTGATTACGACTCTTTCAGCTTTGAAGTATGTCTCCCGACTGGAGGAAGCACCTATGATTCATCCTTAGAATTACGATCAAGGATATCATACTATTGTAACAGTCAAGAGCAACTTGGATTGGGGAGGCAAATGATTGTTTGAATCACATTTACTCCAAACACATTGTTGATAAGGATTTTCCCCTGGTGTACTGCCTGGACTGCTTCTGGCTCTCTTATCTCAATACTGATCATTCTTATCAAGATTTTAATCCATTTGAGCAGAACACCAATGAATGTGACAGACCTTGAAATCCAAAGCCAATGATTCCTCTGCATAAGCTTTCTCATAGCTAGGAGTCCATTTGACACTAACCCGCTGGGAGATAGCCTTAGGGCATGACAGAAAGGGACCCAAAAGATAGGTAAACTGATAAAGGAATTTTTAACCCAGAGATATCAGTGATAGTTACATACTAAGGATCCATGTTCATACAGCAAAGATTACAGGCTGACCAAAATTTGGTATCTGCGGAGCAGAGAAGGATAGGTGTCAGTAGATGAATGGGAAATTTATGAATTTAAGCCTACCAAAATTGGTTTGTTTGGAAGATAAGATATTCAGGCAACACAGCGGGATGATTAGGCGTCAATATAAGTATGATTAACTTCAAGACCAGAGGAGTGTCAATCTTGATATTGAATAAGCTCAGAACCATATTTGATTGACTTCAAAAGCGAGGTGTTTCTTAATCTTTATCTTGAAATTTGATTCAAGAATCCACTCAATGACTAAGGTTGACTGTATGCCTTTGTATTGCAAGTCATGTTCTTCATACATCTCGGTCAAACTGGCATCAAGCTAACCCAACTGACTCAGTGCAGGAAGAGGATTTCTTTCTTTTGGTGTAAGCTCAAATCCTCCCTCTAAGATCATACTTATTCTTTATATCCTTTGGGGTCTTGTGCAGATCATGGACACTATTAACCTTCCACTTATCAATTGCTCACAAGATGAATCAGATATTGTGAAGCACAACGAAAGCACTGTGTTAACACAAACAGTGAGTCGTTTTTTTTACAATTTAACTCCAGACCCTTTGGAACTGCAATCACTTTTCACTACAAAAAATATAATGTTTTCTGGGCAGACAACGCAAATATTGATATACAAAAATATTGGGCGGTCAGGAGGAGGGCAAAAAATACAAAAAAATATGGCTGTTGTTCCTGGTGTTGAGAGCTTCAATTTGAGTATCTTGTTTGTATTTTTAGAGTGCATATTGTTGAACGTACTAACAGAAAACCCCATATTCATCAGATGTATACCTGTAACAGATGCTGAAATTTGGTTCCTCAGATTGGAGAGGACAATTTGGTTTCTACAAATGCTCATAACTTTTTCAATTGGCAAGGAAAACACTCGATTATTGGCTCATTAGAAAGCTGAGCTCTGCTTCCAGATCTTTCATTAAGGTGATGGGGCTGTGTCCAGCTTTGCAAAGAATCTATGTGGCTTTGAAGAAGATATTTCAAAGTGACTATAGCTGCCTTGTGAGAGAAAATGAAGCCTTGAATTGTTATGAAGACATTTAGAGAGAGACTGTGGCTTTCTAATGAGCCTAAAAGCGAGTATTTTGACCAAGAATTGCGAATTTTATGAGCATTTGTAGAATTCAAATTGTCCTCTCCAATCTGAGGAACTGAATTTCAGCATCTGTTACAGGTGTATATCTGATGAATATGGGGTTTTTTGTTAGTACATTCAACAATATGCCCTCTAAAAATACACAAAAATACTCAGCTTGAAGCTCTCAACACCAGGAACAATATCCATATTTTTTTGTATTTTTTGCCCTCCTCCTGACCGCCCAATATTTTTGTATATCAATATTTGTGTTTTCTGCCCAGAAAACATTATATTCCTTGTAGTGTTTGACAAACTTGAAGGATATAGCTGACAAGCCCTTCCCTGCAGGTGGACACATTTCAAGAAATTTCAAAAAACTCAAGTCCTAAACCAAGTGTAAAACTTCCCTGCTCAACATCTCTTGTACAATCCACAGGAGCTTCAACAATCTTCCATCAAATTCTGCCCTTGGCTATGGAGCAAAATCAAAAAGTTGACAGCCTGGTAAAAAGTTTATTACTCTTGGTGATACCAACTATCTTGATACTCACCAGGTTTTCTGGTTCTAGGAAGCTGAAAAAGATACCTTACCAGGTTCAGCTTGGCCAATAGAAAAACTGAAGAGATTGGGAAAGGCTTTAAATATCAAAATTTTACTGTCTGCTTTGGTGATTCTCTTGGCCATGAGTTGAGTGACATGTAATTTCTCTTCCGGCAAGGATGTCTCATCAGCATATTCTGAATACACTTCAAACCACCTCATAGGTATACTACAAATTCTGAAGAGGCCGGAGAAGAATTTTCATGCTGAATCACATATGGATACGAAGAAAATCTGGAACACACTGGAGCAAGAAAGAATAGAAAATCACAACCAATTTCAACAAGGCCAGGTACAGGAGGAACTTTCTTGACTCAAAACATCCCTGAACCTCTTGGAAGCAGACATTGCCCGTATCAAAACCAATTTTGAGAAAGCCACCAAGGACCAAGACACTCGCCTTCGTTCATGGATATCTAGTATCTTCACAGCAGGCCTTAAACATTCACAGAGGCCTGACTATGCCCTAAGTTCTGGTGGAGCTCAGATATATTATTGGATGACATCACCCACATACAAAGAAAAGCCAGCTACTAAATTGGCAAGGTTGTTTAATTGGTTGGTTGGGGGTCCTGTCAAGATAGAATTTCATCCACCCTCTGTTGCTTTGGATCCTGACACAAACGTAGGAAGATGTTGGGCCATGGAAGGACAGAGAGGCAGTCTTGGAATTTTTCTGGCTCAAAAAATCATTATTGACGAATTGGTGATAGAACATACTGATCCAAGCATGGCATTTGAGTTGGAGTCAATTCTTCAGAAATTTGAACTTTTTGGACTGAGTGAAATGCTTACTAGTCCTGTTAAGCTAGGGGAAGGGGTTTTCAACATTTCCAGTGCACATATCCAACACTTTTCTATACAACCTCAAATTCCTGTGGTCATAGTCATATTCAATGTTCTCTCCAATCACGGGGACCCAGATTTCACATGTATATATAAGTTAAGGATTCATGGACAGATGGTGTGATGTTGAGAATTACTATACATGCTAGCTACTAACATTTCTGTTAATAAAAGTCTTGCCCTTTACTATTAATGATGTTTACCAAGCTTGGACAATTGTCAATGACTATTTATGAACATGTGACTATCAAAACTATGTTACAGATTCATCAATATATGATTGAATTCTGTTTGTTGGCATTGAGGTATTTGTACTATTGGCCTCAAATCACCGAGAATTCAGCTCAGAAAAAAACACCTAGAGGTTCATTATCCATATTTCCCTGCTTCCTTGTTCACTTTGTATGACAAGACTAAATTTTGAGAATAAAGCAATGGAGGAACAAACTAGCTTCAATGAGAGAATCCCAAATTTTTTGATTCACCCCTGATCCCCTATCTCCTAGAAATAATTCTTGTGAACTGTTTAATTGTTCTACTGGCTGACAGAATTGAATTTCAATGATCTTTCTTACATCTCTTCTGCATTACTTTCAACTTTTGTAAATGTTTGCATTGAAAATTTCTATTCAAACTTTCACTGTCTACCACTGGATCAAAATAATAGATAGCTGTGTCTATATAATATAATATTTGCACATAAAATACTAAGCAAAGCCAGTGTTGCACCTTGGCCCTCAGTGAGTAGCCAAGTAATTTTATCGTGCCTCTATATAATTAAGCTCCATACATGAATTGAAAGCATCATCCAAGATCATGACAGCATGATTCTAACATAGCAATTTCTTTACCCTGGTAATGATTACAATGTATACTTTCCACAACCCATCTCTCTAACTTTAACAGGACTCTTGAGGGTACTGGAACTCCTCAAATTGGACTTGCCACAGGAACATGATGTTCTGATTTTTGCATTTCTCAAATCTTCCTTACATGTTATATTCAAATATACCATCAACAATGATCTGCAATTTTACCTACTATACAACATAAATTTATGAATGTAGGATTAGATCCTGTGACTTTAAGGCAACAAAAAGTTGCCCTCATAGAGGAGGACTGATGGAATGAAAGTATTCAGGCAAGTAGTATTGTATTCAAGATATGTGTAGGATCTTAGTGCATGTGAGCTGGCTCACAGAATATGATTGAGATAACAGAAGACTAATGAACCAAATCAGATTCTAGAAAGAAGACTTACTTATTTGAGAAAGGAAATAACTTATGCGATTCACAGTTATTACTTTTTGAAATTGATTTCATGATAGGTTTATTTGAAATCATACAAGTTATGAAGAGGTTCAATGCCAGGGTTCTCCATCTCACAACCTCTGATGCATCATTAATATTCAAACACTTTGGTGTTTGATTCACAAATTCAAAATTCAGAATAATACCAGTTGTCCAGAGAGTCAATGCCAGGATTTTCCTACTCAGAACCTCAGGTGAATTTTGAACATGTCATAGTTTGATTCACAAAATGGGAAAAAAAATGAATGAAACCTGCATTAAGAGGGAAGATCAGTTAGCTGAGAAGCCAAATGAGAAAATAGGTTGAAGGCTGATGAACCAAATCAGATTATGAAAAGAAGACTTACTTAACTGGGAAAGTTTATGATATATCTCATTAATGGTTGATAATTTTTGAATTTGGTTTCATGATAGGTTCATTAAGAATGGTAAGATTTCAATGGAGGTTCAATGCCAGTATTTTCCGACTCAGAACCTCAGGTCAAACACTTTGTTGTCTGTTTCATAAATTCAAAATTAATGATAATGAAATCTATAGTAAGAGAGAAGATTGCTTAGCTCATGAACAGATTATAGAAAGAAGATTGATCAGCCAAATCGGATCATGGCTGAGAGAAGACTTACTTAATAGGCAAAGTTGATAATTTACGCAATTCATTGTTGATAATATGTAAAGTTCATTTAATGATATGTGTCTGTGTAGGGTTTGCACATTGACAAGCCCACACCAACTCCCTTTGAGGCAGAACACAAAGCTGTGAGTGCTTGTCAACAAGCAAACACCACCCGGACACAGTGATACAAGTAGTCAGAATGTTCAATGCCAGTATTTTCCAACTCAGAACCAGATCCTTGTCGAGAGTATCTAAACATTTTGTTGTTTGATTCATAAATTGAAATTTCAGAATGATACATGTCCTCCGCAGGGTCAATGCCAATATTTTCCGACTCAGAACCATGGGTTACTCATGAATACTCAACTTTGTTGTTGGTTCCATAAATTCAAGATTGATGATAATGAAACCTATAGTAAGAGAGCAGATTGGTTAGCTCACATACAAAAGAAGATTATGGAAAGAAGACTTACTTCATTGGGAAATTTAATGATCTACGTAATTCATGGTTAATAATATTTGAGGTTTATTTCATGAAAGATTTATTAAGAATGATATAACTAGTTGAAATGTTCAATGCCAGTATTTTCCAACTCAGAACCTGATGCCCATCAAGAATATCCAAACACTTCATTGTTTGATTAATTACATGAAATTTGAAAATTATACAAGTTTTCCAAAGGTTGAATGCCAGTATTTTCCGACTCAGAACCTCAGGTGAATCATGAATATTCAAACACTTTGCTGTATGTTTCCTAAAGTCAAGGTTGATGAAAATCAAACCTATTGTAAGAAATCAGATTGGTTAGCTCATGAACCAAAAGAGATTTTAGAAAGAAGACTGACAAGCCAAATCAGAACATGGATAGAAGACTTACTTAATTCAGAAAGTTTATGATGTACATAATTCATAGTTAATAATATTTAAAGTTAATTTCATGATATATTTATCAAGAATGATACAAGTAGTCAGAATGTTCAATGCCAGTATTGTCTGACTCAGAACCTCATCCTCGTTGACAGTATCTAAACACTTTGTTGTTTGATTCATAAATTGAATTTTCAGAATGATACAAGTTGTCCGCAGGGTCAATGCCAGTATTTTCCAACTCAGAACCTTGGGTCACTCATGAATATTCAACTTTTTTGTTGGTGCCATAAATTCAAGATTGATGATAATGAAACCTATAGTAAGAGAGCAGATTGGTTAGCTCACAAACAAAAGGAGATTAAGAAAGAAGACTTACTTAATTGGCAAAGTTCATGATGTATGTAATTCATAGTTGATAATATTTCAAGTTGATTTCATGAGATTTATTAAGAATGATATAACTAGTCAGAATGTTCAACACCAGTATTTTCCAACTCAGAACCTCAGGTCAATCATGAATATTCACACACTCTGTTCATTGATTGATAAATTTGAAATTGAAGATAATGAAAACTACAGTAAGAGAGCAGATCAGTTTGCTCATGAACCCATTCAAAAAGTAAGAGAGGATAATTACTAACCACATGATCTTGATTTGTGCTGCTACATATTGATTAATCAGTTCCTGCATGACTTCTCAACCTCTACAATCATTGTTAATACCTTTAGGTCCATGAGTATGAATCCAAAGGAAAAAGAAACCCAAGATCTCCATTAGAGACCACTTGTATTTGATTGGTTTAAAACCAGAGAAAAGGTAATCACTTACCACGTATTCCCGACTTCCAGTTGCTACATATTCATTCCTCAATCCTTCTCCACATTCATCAAACTGTTTGTCATCCTCACTACCTTTATGTTCATCACCAGCATGTTTCTAAAGAAAACACAAAAACCAAGATTGAAATCAGAAATTGAACACATGTCATCTATCAGGAAAGAGAGCAAGAGAGGCGCAGATCTATGAAATCAACTTAATCACTTACTTGAGGCAATCAAATTGGTATGAGTGATCAAAACACCCTCAGGTTTACCTGTACTTCCACTTTATACATAATGCAAGCGATGTCCTCTGGATCTGCCTTTACAGTTGGATGATTGCTCTCGGTACCAACTTCACGTAATTCATCATATAGTAAGACTCTGGATACAACTCTGATATGCAGTCTTAATTCTTGAATCTTGGACATGGATTTACACTTTGATTCACCATCATGGACCACAAATTTCAAGCTAGGTGTTTTGTCAATCACAGATACAAGAGTAGTGAGTAAGTTTGAATTGGTGAATAGTCCCAGTAAATCAGTTTCGTTGATCGAATGTTCAAGTCCTTCTACACCAAACAAGTCATATGTGGTAGCAAATGTAATGGCCAGACGTCCGGAAGCTGAGCCAGACAAGGTGTTCCAGAAGATGATCAATAAGAAATCAAAAAAGACCATCACACAACAAAATCAATCTTACCATTTGCCATGATTGGCAAAGCGGGCTTGGTAGAAGAGTAAGTTAAACTTGTGTTCCTTTGTCAATCCCAACTCTGTCAAACTGTTTAAGATCACGGACACTTCCTCCAAAAACTGCTTAAAGGTCCAATACTTGTAATCCCTCAACTCATAAAACTCCCACACTTTATCCTCCGTAACTTCTTTACCACCAATCACTTTAGTAACCCTTTTCACTTCTTTGTGAACCTTGATAATATCAGGCTATCCAACCGCATTAGTAGTTGGGATTTCTTTAGCAGCATATTCGAGAACATCAGGTGAGGTCGCGATTCTAGCTGCCAGTGAAGTGACAAGGTCATGGGTAGACTTGTATGATAGACTTGTGTGACCTTTGAATTTTAGTTTCACCAAATGGAACTGAGTCAGCAATTTCAATTGAAGTTGGTCCTTGAGACATTTTGAAAGGTTCGGAATCAAAAACTACAATCAAACTATGTACAAAAGTTAGATTATCAAAAAAGAGGATGTTTCAACCTTAACACACAGAAAAAAAGATTATTAGGATCTTGATTTACCTGGAACTCAATTAGGCCGAGGTGGGGGCTTAGAAATTGATGGGTCTAGAGAAGAGGCTAGATAGGCCATTCTACCCATTTCAAAACCAATAGCAAGTGTGACAGAACAAGGATTTTTGGCAAAGATATTGGTATCGGAAGATGTGAAATTAGACATTATCAGTAAATTGTGATTCAAAGTTTTTTTACACAAGTGAAAGAGAATATCATTTTTGGACAGACCAAAAGAAACAAGGATTATAAACTTGATTTATCAAGTAGTGAGTTCAGGAAAGCTTGATTTGACAGGGTGACCAAAGAGGCGAAAAGGCAATCAGATGTCTCTTATGGACACATACCGTTCTGAGTTTTAACTGAATCCGTACTCAAACCAAGGCTAAACCAATCAATTGTCAAAGATATCACAAGAGGATTAGTAAGAAACCCCAGAATCACACGAAGTGTAATATAAAAGACATACCTGTATGCTGTGATCATCGAGTAATCATTGTGAAAGGTAGTCTAGCACTCTAAGGGCGCTTTGACTTAAGCAATTTCTGGTGAAATTTTGCATTCTGTGATGCACAGAAATCTCATTCTGTGAAATGTGTTTGATATGTTATTTACAAGCATTCTAGAAATCACAGAATGCTTGTAGAATGCAATTTCTCATCACATTTTAAGAATTCGATCCAAGTCCATTCTTGTACACAGAAATCATGTTCTGTGATTCAAAGTTTTTTCCAATATTGGACAAGTCCCCTTCTATCGTACGGATGCTCTCAAATTTGTGACAAGTCCCACTCTCACGTACAAAATACTACAAACCCCTCAACACCCCCCTTCCATCACCTTCTTTCACCATCACCATCCTTCTGAATTGCACTCAACTCATTAAGGGTACTCAAAGCAAAGTATGTAGCGCTACATACTTTTCGCTACATACTTTTTTTGGCGGGGACAAAGAAAAAAAATATACTTTTGGCCTCGCCTTCCCCGCCAAAAAAAGTATATAGCAAAAAGTATGTACACGTACATACTTACTTTGAGTACCCTTATTCAAAATCCAATGCCTCGATCTGAACATAGCAGTAACGATGACATGGAAATCGAGCTAGCCAAAGAAAACAAATCAAAATTGAACTCAAACTCGAAATCGAAATCAAAATCAAAATTGAACCCAAAATCGAAATCGCAAGCAAAATCGAAATCAAAATCACAACCAACCTCCATCAGCAAGTTGATCAAAGTCAAAGACAAGAACAAAGATGAAGTTAGTAAAGTTGAAGATGATAAGAAGGAAGAAGAGGAGGCTGCTGGTGGTCTATGGACTCAACAACAAACTCTCTTTCTCATTGACGAGTTCAAACATCAAACCGACTTAGGAAAAGGGAACAATGGTGGCCTCAAGAATGAAGCCTGGAAGCAGGTCTTGATTAATTACAACAGTAAGTTCAAAGTAACTGCAACACTGTCAAGATTAAAACACCAAATTCAAAAGGTATGGATTGTTCTTTACCTTTACCTCTATTGACTCCTTTCCTTTTCTCACTACCCTTCCTTTCCAAGTGGTGCAGCACTGATAGGATTCAGGCTGCTCAAAACCACATCTGGGTCAATTTGGGGATTGTCAGGATTCAAGCCCAAATCGATCTCTCTTCCATATCATCAATTCTCATCTTTCTTCATACTCACTTTCATTGTTTTAGAACCTATACTCATGCCCATCTTGCTTCTATTGTCTTTATACTCTTTCTTTTATTTGTTTGATACATAGTTAAAGGTCACTTATAAAGCTTTTGATAAGATTATGGACTCTTCTGGTGCTCCTGGAACCAACACTGTAACTGGTGAGGTTCACGCAGAGAAGGACTGGTGGGACCACTGGATCAATGTGGTCAGTACTATTCTATTTCTGTATGTTCACTTTTTTGTTTCTCTTTTGATTTAATACAATAATTTCATGATAGGCTGGGAACAACAATGCCAGACCAATTTGGACCAATGGTTTTCCAGCATAAGAAGCTGTCTCAGCCATCATGCCAGAGAAGCACTTACGGGCTAACCGGAATGAGGGTTTTGGGACCCAAAGCAAGAAGAAGCGGACTGCACCTCCCATATCTGTTGGTTCCAATGGAAATGATGAAGGTAGGTTCCATCTCTATCCCTCTGTTATCATATTCATTACTATTTTTGATAAAAGCTGACCCAATCTATGACGTAGGACATACTGCATCTGAGAACGAGAACAACTCAAATGAAGATCAAGCTCAATCTCATGTCTCTGATTCACAAAAAGAATCTGACATTGAAAATATCAAAGGTAAAAAACCGGCTGCTGCACAAAAGCAGAGAAGAGCTGTAAGATATTTTTTCATTGGTTTTTATCTCTTTTTATCGCTTCTTTTCAATGGTTACTCTTTTTTGTATTTTCTATTCAATCAATCTGATCATTTCATTTTTCTTCTGGATTCCTTTTTGATTACCGCTATCAAGTCAGCAAGTACTAGTGAACCAACTAGAAAGTTTGCAAGACATCTAGCTTCTGCTAAACGTCTCACAGCTGCCAAACTTGCCCTAGACAACGGGGATTATGATGATGATGCCCCAGCAAGACAATTTGTACGCAGCAAGAGAAGCCCAGCTAATTCAGCACCTTCAACTTCTAAGCAATCACGCACCACAGGAACTAAATTAGTGGCTGAATCAATCAATCAAGCAGTCGAGAGAGTTGTGGGCTTGAAGGAGAAGAACAAAAGTGATAAGGTTGCAATTGCCAGAATTAAATCCAAACAGCATCCTATGCGACAAGAGGCAATGATTATCTTCAACAAGGAATGTGGCAAGCAACTCAAGAAACATCATATCATTCTAGTGGCCAATGAATTGAAAAAAGACAACACTGCATCCTTTTTTTATCATATGGATGCTGCTTACAGATGGGACTGGGTGAAGAGCGAGGCTGGTATTTTGAAGGAGTATCAAAAGGTAGATGAAGTAGATGAAGATGAAGAAGATGAATGTACGGAAGCCCTGAGCGTGGGGTCCGCCAACCCCCTCAAACACATAAACTCAACGCATTTATTCTACACACCTTTTGCTTATGTACACACCCAAGATCTTGATTGCGACTGTGGCCTGTTCCAACTCAGCCATCCACTCAAAATAAAATTAATCACACTACGATGGAGCTCACTTCAACTATTGTCCATCCCGTTTCGGACGCCTCTACAACCATAATCAAACACCTTCAAGACCCAACCTACCTCAACAATATGTTATCTCATGACACGACATCCAAATCTCTCCCTCCAATCGGCGGTATCCCTGCTTGCAAAAGTCTATTTTAAACTTCAGCAATGTCCTCTCAATTTGGCCCATCAATGTATCTGCCACATAACTTGGTCTTTTGATTCTCAAAAAGGTCACTGCATTCAAGGTGGGGCTCTGTTCGAAGGGCCCGAAGCGTTGACATGGCTTCAGTCAACGCTTTTCTTGGCTTGGGCTTTGGAGGACCTGGTCTCGGGTTTGAAAAACATGTTGATATTGTTGCACACTTTTGTCCAGGAGCAGGGTGAGTCAATTCTGACTTTCTTCTTACATGCAGTAAACATGCTCGGAAAATCGAGTCTCAACTCGGTTTTAATCATATGTACTATCCTTTACTTTGTGCTCCTCTGTTCTTATCTTCTATCTTCATTTGCCTTGTATGACTTTTTTGACGAGTTGTCAGAATACAGTATCCGTTGTGAAGGCTCGGTAGTCCAATACAAAGGGGAAACCCAGGTGATTCTTTTCTTTGTTTTACATGAAACACACATTTTTAATTGATGCAATATGTCAAATCAAAAGCCCTTTAAAACAAAACAAAACTGAAAAAAGTTTGTTGTAAAACCATTTTTTTACTTTCTTAATGATTGTTCTTTATGGGAAAACAATTCAATAGCTTCTGTGTAGAACAAATCATTTTTATGATTTTTCAAATTTTGGTAATTATATATGAGATGTGGATGAAAAAGACTTTTGATCTCAACTATTTATATTGATATCTTCGGACCTTGCTGAAACAGTCTCTTGGTCTGTTGTTGAATCAATTCCAAGGTTGAGCTTAAAGTATGAGGAGAGGAAGGAGGACATGAAGTGTCGAGTCAGAGTCCAGACTCAAGAGATGAGTGTCGAATTTGAGATGTTGAACTTTGAAGTGGTATGTCAATGTGTGTAAAATTTGAGCGGTTGGGTGTGGTGTGTATGTATGTGTTAAGTGGGTTGGCGGACCCCACGCTCAGGGCTTCCGTATGAATGATCGTGTTTTTCATTTTGTGTCACTTCTTATTTTGTATCTCAGAACTCAAGTATTTCATTTTCTATTTCATTCTCTATCATTTCTTATTTTGTATCTCATCTCCAAACTCAACCAAAAAACAAAAACACATATAATATAGTAATTATTGATTTTCTCCTTTTATTGATAATACAAACAATGGCCAATGTGATACAAACAACAATGACCAGACAAATCAGACAAAACTTGCAGAAGAGATAATGAAAACATGAGATGATGGTATTAAAAGCAATATTGAATATAAACGTACAATAACATCTTTAGACTCGTCTATGTGCCACAGGTGCATCAACATAATCATTGAACATCTGCTCAGCAAGTTGATCTCTTTGCTCAGATGCTTGAGTACGCTGAGTAGAGCTAGGCTCAACCCAATCAGGATCTTCATTATTGCCACCCAACCTTTGTTCCAATCTCTCTTTCAACATGTACTCCTCATAGAATTGATCTTTGCCAGATTCAATTCGGATAATATTATGTAGTACACAACAAGCTATCACAATCAAGACTTGGATCTTGTATGGGTAGGAAGGCATCGAAGCCAGTATTGGGAATCTCATCTTTGATACACCAAAGATCTGTTCAATTATGATTTGAAGTGAAGAGTGGCAATGATTGAAAAGCTCTTTAGCTGTCTGGGGTGTGAGACCAGAGTGTTTCCACTCCTTGAGGTGGTATCGTACGGACCAATAAGGTGCAAGAAATCCTGGAATGTTGGCGTATACAGCGTCCGCAACATAGAAGCGGTCTGAAAAGAGATTGACACACACAAAGTCAATATAGATCAATCTAAGATGAAAGGAAGTAGCTTACCTTCTGGAACTACAAACTGCTGTTCTTCAAGGGCTCGGTGAAGAACACGGGCGTCCACATGAGATCCCTCTAAACCAGCATATACAAAAGTAAACAGCATGTTGAACGAACATCCAGCTAGGACGTTTTGGCTAAGGTCCCCCTTTTGATTTCAATGAGCTGGTTGACGTTCAGGTGGGACAATACAAGGAATATGGGTGCTGGGTGCCATCAATGGCACCCACACACTTCTTGAAATACGGATACATTCGAGGGTTGTTCCAGATCTCCTTTGGACAAGCCTCACCACCAGTAGGTTGTACGATATAAATAGATTCAAGTGATGCAATTGATTGGCAGACTCTATTGAAATATTTGCTGATTGTGTGTCCCGATTGTTGGAATTGTTCTCCAGCTGCTCGATTAGTTCCTGAGTTTCCAATGATGTATAGAAAGATCATAACTTGCTCTTCCTTTGATACACTACGCTTGCGGTGGACAACAAGTTTACCTTTGAGGGCTTTCATCAAGCCCTTGAAAGCTAGCTTGTCCATGCGACACACTTCTCTGAACCGGACATCACTGCTTTCGAGAATCTCCTGTGTATATTCATTTCCTCGAGGTTTTGATGTCCTACAAGGAATCTTTGCGCTTGAAAGAGAGGTTATATAAGCTTGACCGGCTTCGATGATTGACTTAAGAAGTTGGATTGGTCTTCGAAAGGATGATGGAGATGAGGAATCAGAGTCTGTATCAGAGGAACTTGACATGGTGATGAGGAACTAATTGATGGCAATCACAATTATAAAAAAAAGGAAGAGTGATCATCTGTGATCACAGGAATCACTTTTTGTCCTTAATGCTCATCTAAGCAAACATGTCATTACCTCATTTTTCACAAATTCTCACATAACATGGATTTTTGTTTTTTTTCACGAAAATCACTTTTCTACATGTAGAAAAGTGGTCACTCAGAATGCAATTTCTAGAATTTGCGACTAAGTGAACGTGCCCGAAGAGCACAAGAGTCAATGAATCGAGATGAGATCGTAGTATCAATATGCATCAAGACTAAAGTCACTCACTGGGTTAAACTTCCCCCACAAGATATACACTTCAGCATTTCCACTCTCTTGACCTGGTAAGATTCAATGTGCGAAGGTACAGGCAAGTTTAAGGTCTTGTTGATGTTTTTCAAAACTCAAACAGAAGCAAAAACTTTGTCTCGTAGACAATTGACCACGCAGAAAGATAGAGAGATTGTGAATGAGAAGAAAAAAGACAAGAATAAGACTTTTGACTTTGAAAAGGGACTGTATGACTGAATCGGTCTATTGACTTTTCACTTTTTTGGAGGATAACCAATGAAAGATTAGATACTTTTCTCAGTTAATGAAGTAAACAAAGATTTACTTACTCTGTCCAATCTTTATCTGCATCTTCACCCTCCTCTTTCTTGTTATCTTTGTCATTGGATTCACCTCCAATGATTTCATCAACATCAACTTTCTCCTCCTCAAATTGAGCCTGTGAAAGTTCCTGACTCACTTGTTCTAGTCTATCTCCCGCCATTTGATTCACTTGCTCCATTTCTTGCTCATTCAGATTGTATCTTTGAGGGAACTGAGCCGCTACACCCTTTCGGATCCATATTGCACTCAAGATCAATGAGGCCATCTTTGTTTGTATTTGACATTGTTGTGTTCTTGGGGTCAACTTGAATTCAACAACAAGTTTTCAACACCATTTTCTTCTTTACTGCATCTTGATCATTAGTGAAGAAGGGTTGTAGAAGCTGTTATGATTAAATGAGATCTAGCAGTGGGTATCAAACTTACAAACATTGCTATCAAATCCTTCAAACAAGTCAAAGAAGCTAGGTCTAGTATAAGCTGAGATGACTGCAGATGCTAATTGATTCAAGTCCAATTAAGTAGAGAAGTATGATTCATTTGAAAACCATTTGAGCAATTTGAGAAATTTAAGTGATTTAAATCAATTTGAAGGATTCAAAACAATTGGTGAATCCAAATGAAAGACCAATGGTGTGATTGAAACAATTTGAAGAGAATCTTGACTATCTGTAAAAGTTGAATTGAAATTTGAAGTGATTTGAATATATGTGAATTGAAAAGTTGTCTAAGTAATTGAGAAACCATAGTAAACCAATTACCAGTTTAGATCATAGATCAATGTTGATGAATCAAGTAATTTTGTGTTCAATGAATTTGATTAGGATTGGTGGTGGTGAGGGTTCAATTGACTGAAAGTGAGTTAAGAGTAAGTGAGGTGGTTGTTCCAAAAAATCAAAAGGCACTCAAATTGGACAGGAGTAATTCATATAGCAAATCAAGTGTACTTACAAGATGAGTTCAATGAAAATTTGGAACCCAAATTTAGGGGTAGGGAAATAATCCCGGTCCCAGAGGGGTTTTACTTAGGGAAAAATTTACTTGTAATCCTGAGGTGTTAGTCTGGACTGCGGCCAAAATGTGGTTCAGAGTTTTTTGAAAATCAACCACTGAGTGAAGTCTGTGGATATTACTCTCCAGATTGAACACCATTTGAAATATTCCATTCGAATAGTTCAAAAAGGTAATGTTGAATTCCAATTTGATCCTGTGATATTAATAGCAAATTATGTGTTATCTCATCACTTTTCAGATTCTCAGATTAGGCATATATAAAAATCTAACTAACAATATATTCAAAAGATACAGTGAGCAACATCGTAAATCAAGTACAAACTTAACTCAATCAGCTGAATTGGAAAAGGTCCAGTACATGAAAGTCATTATTATATTGACTTCTCTTTTGGATTCAAAACTAATCCTGTTTCAATTTTTATATTGTAATTACATGGCTTTCACAGACATCTATTCAAATATGTTCATACACCAATTATCAAATCACACCACGAGATTATCAAACAACTTTGATTCAAACTTCAAGCTTTTCTCGGATTTCAGCCCAGATGAATCCACTGAACTCAAAGAATTACTACACTCAGTATCTCTCAAAGATTACATCATGAATTTTTTAGCTAGTCATGCAGCTGCTCATTTTCCTCCGTGTTACGATCACAAACCACAACATGATTTAAATTTCATCATTGATCTTCAGACTGGGATTAAGAAATTCCAGACAGAGATGGATTTTTGTGCTAAAAGTACAGGCATGAAATTGGACTTGGAGATCTACACAGTTTTCATGGCAACAATCATGCTGCCCATGCAACTTGTTTGATTACGCGAGGTCATCATACGATCTTTAATATTCAAGAAACTTAGCAGGTATGTATTTCAAAATTTGTTCATTAATACTTCCAAGGTACTCATCAATTTCATTTAACAGGGCTATGCAAGCTCTCTTGACACTACAGATAGCATCTTCTTACATTTTGACTGGCCAGACATCAAAGGGGGAAGATATTGTTGAAGATTTCATTACAAATGGACCTGTGTTATACTGCTCTTACTGCAAATTACATATTAATCTATCTTGACCGAATCCATTCTAATTATCTCTGTTAGTGTGTCTTGAACAAATACTAAAAAACAAGCTTGAAATAAAATTAGGTAATTCTTGATATAGATCAAAACAAGTATTAATCTATCCTTTTCAATTTCAGGTTGAACATATGTACTTTTTCTCAGCCTAAAAATATTTGTTCCAAGAAATCTCATCAATTCACATTCACACTTCAATTCCAAAACCAAGTAAAAAACAAATTTGTGAGAATAACCTGGATATCTAAAAGCAGCTAGAGACACTTCACCATCTCCCAAAGTTTGACATCTTAACCACTCTTCTTTATAATATCAATCCTTTTCAAAATTTCTGAATCCAAAAATAATCAAATCATGAGGTTGATTTTGATTTTCGCAAGACGCCAAAGACCCAAGAGGAGTGATTCCAGTACCCTGTCTTATACAAATCACAAGAGTTGTGATATAGAGTGGGAAAGTAAAGTCACCTGGTTTGATACAAATTGGAATTTGACTACCTAGAAATCTTTTCCCCCACAAAAAACGTCATTGTGAATAAGTTTTTTTGTGAAGATCTTTTTACAAAAGAAGCTTTCAACGTACCTAGGTTAAACTTAGATAACCAACTTGTACAAAGGTCTTTACAAGGAATCACAACTAATTAACTACTGCTACAAGTAAATGAATTTGACTAGGAAACATCCATAATAAGCCAAAACATATTGAGTCATTGATCCTGCAAACTCTGAGACTTTGTAAAGTACTACATTACTTTGGTATTCCAGTACTAGTATAGTACTTTAGTACTATTGTATCATGGCACTATGGTCTGTAGCCCTACAGCATTATGGCACTGTAGTACTGTAGTACTTTATCACTACAGACTATAGCAGACTACGGTGCTTTTGTACTCAACCGGAGAGGCACTCACTTTGTACTGCTTCATCCATGCTACAATAACCATTGTAGCTGGATACTTCCCTTCCCTTTGCCATCACACACCAGCACCCTGAGCCTGGTCCTGACACATAGTAGCATTAGTACTACAGTACTACAGGACCCTTGGTACTATAAAGTACTATATTAATATAGTACCATACTACCATTAGTACCACAGTACAATAATAGTGTCCAGTACTACAGTACTAAAGGACCCTTAGTACTATAAAGTACTATAGTCGCCGTGTCTGGGAAGCGTTTGCTTGTCAAAAAGCGCGCACAACTTCCCTTTCTGCCTCAAAGGGGGTTGGTGTGCGCTTGTCCAAGAGCAAACCCTAAACGGGCACGGTGAGTACCATGAGTACCACAGTACTATAGTAATATTCCCGTGTACTATGGTAGCTACTGTAGTACTATATGGCTAATAGGCCTGTACTACAATACTATAGTAGTAACAAAATACTATGGGACTTAGTACCATTGTAACATAGTACTATAGATGGTACTATAGTATGTAGTACTAATGTAGTACTGTAGTACCATGTTAGGTACTACAGACAATATTACCATAGTACTATAGACATGGTACTATAGTACTACGTGAGTACCATAGTACTGCAGTACTACATACCATAGTGATATGGTACTTCGGATTATGGTATTATGGTACCACAGTACTATAATACTAATGGCACCATGGGACTACGGTAACAAGTCCTGCATTACCATGTTAATACTATAGCACAATTGATACTATATTACTGTATAATACTAACATAGTACTATAGTACCAATAGTATCATACTTCAAGATTGGCACCGGCCTGTATCAGGCATGTTCAGGTCATTCCGGCAACCGCACCAACAGATTATCTGGCTACCGGATAATGTTAAAGGCCTTTCCAGCATCCGGATCTGATGAATGCTTGTAAAGGATCTATAGTTATCCTCACTGCGGGGAAATGATCTTTCAACAAACGGGACGGGAAGCTCAAAATAGAGAGCTGAGGGAAGTTTTTCTAGAACTAATGTGTACTTTAAATTCCTAGCTCCAAAAGGATGATAATCAAAACATTAGTTTAGATTCCCTTAAGGGATTACATCTGAGTATATGAAAGAAATATAATAAGAGATAGTTTTATAAGAAGAAATAATGAAAGACTCACCTAGCTCCAAAAGGATGATAATCAAAACATTAGTTTAGATTCCCTAAGGAGCCAGGAGCGTGCGTGTCGACAGTTTGAATAAGTATGAAAAGTTGAGTTTGGGTATAAGGCTAACTCTATGCTTGTAACACTACACAAAATGTCATCTTTACCGGGCGGTAAAGAAAACTACTGACATAGAAAAGTCCTGAGGCAACAGGAAGAGAGCTAAAAATCTGAAAAAATATGCACCTTGTTCCTAAACGTTGGGGCGTCATGACGAGTATTTTTTTGTATTTTACACACATATATTGGTTAATGTACTAACAATAAAGGCTGAGAATCATCAAAAACCCACCTGTAACAATACCTGAAATTTGGCCCTTGACTTTGAAGATAGGATTTTGGAATCTTCAAACATCAATAACTTTTGCAGTTCTGAATCAAATCACTTGATTCAAAGTGCATTAAAAAGGTGAGCCTTTCCTCTACATTTTTCATTGAGACATCACATCTGTAGCTGGTCTAAAAAAGATCCTACAGAGCTATTCATGCAGAACTGTTTGAACATATGTAGAGTGTTTAAATGACTAGATAGCACCTTACTAACATTATGAAGTGTGAAGAAGAATAGTTCAGCTTTTGAATGAACCAAAAATCGAGTTATTTGGAGCAGAATTGCAAAAGTTATTGGAGTTTTTAGACCACAAAATATTGTCTTCATACTCATGACCCATATTTCAGGTATTGTTACATGTGAGTTTTTGATGATTTTCAGCGTTTATTGTTAGTACATAAACCAATATCTGTGTGTAAAATACAAAAAAATACTCATCATGACGCCCCAACATCTAGGAACAAGGTATATATTTTCCAGATTTTTAGCTCTCTTCCTGTTGCCTCAGGACTTTTCTATGTCAGTAGTTTTCTTTACCGCCCGGTAAAGATTACATTTGGTGTAGTGTAATGAGATATGTTTTGTAATGCTGTTGGGAGATAGCGTTACAATGCTCCCATGGATATCTGGCCAAAATCCGGATCTGGGGCTCTGAAAATGTGGTATCCAGCGTGTTCAGGCCATTCCGGCTCCGGAACCAACGGATTAC